AAGGTTTTCACAGGCTTTTTGCAAACGGAGGCCAGAGGGGGAGAGAGAGAGAGAGAGAGTGCAATTGTTTTGGACCTCTGAATTCCACTCTAATAAGATACTCCAGGTGGCTTGAGAGTAATCCTAAAATAGCTGCCTCTCTTAATTGCTTCTGTAAAATCAGGCTGGCCTGCTCTGGGGAAGAAGGGGCCGACGTGCTGGGATAGTTAACTGAAAGGTGCTAGTTGGAAGGGGGGTGTTGCCAGCAGCTTAGGAGATGCCTGGAGGATTTAATTCCCCTCCCCTGTAGAACAACAACACTTCCAAATCCTTATTTGGAGTCGTCTGTCCTTTTAAAGAGCTGACTGCAGAGCGTTTGCATGCCCTCACATGCGTGAATGAATTCTATCCAGTTTCCATCGGAGACGCAATGCAATAAATAATATATTCTGTGTTGGGGTGTCCATTCAAAATCCCAGGAAGCCTACGACAAATAGCTTGTCTACAGTAAATAGTAAAAGTCTACAGCAGGTGGAGGATCGGCACCGGTCCGCAACACGCCGGGAACCTGGCCACGCAAATGAGTGAAGTGCATGCAAGGTACAGGTGGTGCGTGAAACCACGCCTCTTTCGGTCTGCAGAAACCCCCCTCTCCACGGAACCGGTCCCTGGTGCCCAGAAGATTGGGGGCCAATGGTCTACGGCAGGAGCCCCCAAACTTGGCCACTTTAAGACCTGTTTGGACTTCCAACTCCCAGAATTCATGCTGGCTGGGGAATTCTGGGAGTTGGAAGTCCACAAGTCTTAAAAGTTGCCAAGTTTGGAGACCTCTGGTCTATGGCATTGGTCTCCAGCCTTGGCAGCTTTAAGACCTGTGAGCTTCCAACTCCCAGAATTCCCCAGCCAGTGTGAATTCTGAGAGTTGAAGTCTACAAGTCTTTAAATTACCCAGGTTGGATACCCCTGGTCCAAAGACCACCAAGGGATAGAAAGGAGGGGGGGACAGAAAAGGAATTCCAACAAAACTTGTTTTGTTTTGTTTTGTTGTTTAAGGAAGGAATAAAGCAGCTAGAATAAATTTTTTTTAAAAAAAAAGCTGTGCAGGAAAGAAATGTTCATCATTGACTGATGCTAAGGGGATGTAAATTAATTCTTCTGCCAGCTCTGGAGAAGAGGAAATGCTGTAATTCTTTACTGTATTGGAATTTCCACCATCATTAAAAAAAATTAGGCTGATTTGGTTTAAATTGGCAGTTTTGAATCAACGTCCCCTCTGCATTGCCATTTCTAGATCTCTTTCAAGAAGAGATTGGACAGCCATTTATCCAGAATGGTATAGGTTCTGCTTGAGCAAAAGATTGGGTTGGACTAGAAGACTCCCAAGGTCTCTTAGAAAACCCTCTATTATTAACAGAACAACTCCCAACTGGTTGTGGTCACACTTAAAGCTATTTGAAAATAAATGCAGTAAAGCCTTGAAACAATTATTCGGAATTACTGACTAGACAATTCCCATTTTTGTCCCACAGCGCAAAGCCTATTCATTTGCCGTGGCAGAGAGGAGCATTGTAAAAATTGATCGTTTTTTTTTTTTAAAAAAAAAAACTTGGTTTCCTGTATATATATATATACATACACACTCACACACACACACACACACACACACACACACACAACATACTAGGCATGGCCACTTCCTTGAAGATAAAGGCAGAGCTGATTTTTCTCTTAGGACGGCTGGTCACTGGAGAAATGTTTTTGCCCTGTTTTGAGATATCAACAGCAACCGGTGTTTATTTCCTAATCATAAACATTCGAAATTTGCTGCTTTAATAAGTGCACCGGTTGCAAGCTATTATACACAATAAAAGATAAATATTTTCCCGTGTCTTGGGTGCATTTAAAAAAAAAACAGTCCCAGAAATGTACATGTTAATATTGTGGGGTTTTTAATAGGAAAAAATAAATCACGAAATGAGGGATTTCATACGGGAAGAACTCATTTTGTCTTAATGAAGGAAGAAAATGTTCCTTTTAATCCTATCCCAGTTCCAAATGATGCAGTTTATTCCATTGTTCTGTACCTCATAGCTAGCTTTCAACGATCAGGTGGCTGGTGGGACCGGATCTAATCAGGTAGTCCTCCACTTATGACCACAGATTTCTGTTGCTAAGCAAGACAGTTGTTAAGTGAGCTTTGCCCCATTTTAGAACCTTTCTTGCCACTGCAGTTGTTAAGTGAATCTGGCTTCCCCATTGACTTTGCTTATTAGAAGGTCGCAAAAGGGGATCACATGATCCCCAGGACACAGCAACCGTCGTAAATATGAGTCAGTTGGCAAGCAGCTGAATTTTGATCACGTGACCATGGGGATGCTGCAACAGTCATAAGTCTGAAAAACGGTCCTTAGTGTTCTGACCAAGGCTTCCGAGACTACGCACACACTTATTTTAAAAACAAGTCTTATTTTATTGCAACACTGGGAATTATTTTCATTCCCAGCCGGTAATGAATCTCAAACAGTTCCTTGAGATAAGCACCCACCTTTCTTTCCTGTTGAAGCGCTGCCAATAACAGAAGTGTCAAATGAACTAGAAAAAAAACCAACCGAAGTACAAAGAGCTTCAAGAATTAAATCTGAACTGAATGAACGACTTTGCTTTTCGCAAAGTTTTCATCATCTTGCCTGTCCTTTATCCCTTATTGGGAGGGGCAATCACCTCCCAGCCTTACTCCCGAGTCGCCCCTTTTGTCTCAGCTGCTCTTTGCCTTCTAGCAGCTCTGTGCATACGCACACTGGGAACAGGCTCCCTTGGGTCCTCTTCCTCGCTGCTGCCAGGCTCCGGAGGCTCTTCCTTAGTGTCATCTGGCACTGACACTATCGGGATGCTAATTGGTTTGAAGCAGCCTTTTACCCGTGAAGGAATGGGATTTGTAAAGCAACATTCAAAGGTTGTGCTGTTACCTTTGTCTCGTGTTTGCTTCCTTGGAATCAGGTTTGGGTTCAGAACAGGCTGCCGGCAAACCCCAACAACCAAGTCACTTTTTTTTCCCAGCGCCGTTGTAACTTCAAACCCTCCCTAAACCAACTGTCCTAAGTCAAGGACCAATTGTGCTCCTATCGGGATGCTAACTTGCATTTTGGGAAGTCGGTTGGCCGGTATTGTGAGTGTCCAATTTGGCTGGCGCGGAGAACCTTTTACCTCCCCTGCTTGCCCAGGCAAGATCTGTATCTGTAGCTCTTTTTGAAGTTGGCTCAGGAGAGAGGCAACAGCTGTAACAAACAGCTGACACAACAGAAGCAAGCCATAATCCTCCATTAAATATATTTGGGCTGATGGGCCTCCCTGGATAATTGACTTTTCAGCCCAGCATTGCTGGCTCAAATAAAACCAACAGGCTTTGAAAAGGCAACCTGTGCCATTCAAAAGATTGGTGTGTGTGTGTGTGTGTGTGTGTGTGTGTGTGTGTGTGTGTGTCATACCGCCCGTCTCCGAGCTATTCAACTTGGTAATTCCATGTGTGTGTCAGTGCCAGATGACACTAAACTATAGGCATTAAAGTGGCTCTAATTTTTTTTTTTAAAAAAAAACTCTTTTTGTTTGCAGATCCCTCCCTGAATTCAGCGGCTTTTCATTCTGATTTTTAAGATCCTGTGTGCCTACCACCAGATGGTAGGTCTCTCTCTCTCACACACACAAACACACACACACACACACATCCCCTGGCATTTGACCTTATCAGTGTCGCCTTTTTTGACTGTTGCCCGGGCATTTTTGCATTGCAATGTTTGCATTTGGGATGGCTGCAGTAGCCCTCCTTCCATTCCCACAATCATTCAGGAAGATATTCTTTAGATTATTAATTATTATTTAGATTATGATAATAGATCATTAGATAGTCGTCTTCTGCAGCCTTCTGGTGTGACCCGCTGCTTGGGCTGGGATAGTTCTCAACCTGCGGTCCGTGGACCCTTGGGGGGGGCATGATGTCCTCATGAGGGGGGGGGCAGGAAGGCTTGAAAAAATGTTGAGCCTTGGGGGTCTGTGGCCTTGGTCCCTGGCCACAAAAAGTATTTTTAAAGGGGGCCCGTGCTGAAGAAAAAATGGAAAGCCATTGTGTTAAACCAGAGGTGGGGGGGAAAGCATGGCGCCTTTATGGCTTGTGGACTTCAACTCCCAGGATTCCTGAGCCAGCACAGAATTCTGGGAGTTGAAATCCACAAGTCACAAAAGGGCCATCATTCTCCACCCCTGCCTTAAGCCCATGAAATCCAGGATTCATGTCCCGTAACAGGCGACTCTGTGTTCAACTTCGGTTCTTTTGTCCCAAAGGTGCTTTTTCAAAAGGCAACTGGGCTCCTTTAGCTTCTCATCCAAGAAGCCTCTTCAGTTCTGACCTAATGGTCAGAATTCAGTTAGAACTGAAGAAGCTTCTTGGACGAGAAGCAAAACATTTTCACGGGGGGGAAAAAAACCCCAAGAAAGTCTAGTTGCCTTTTGGAAAACACCTTTGGGAGACAACCATGACCTGGATGGTTGAGAATAGGAACAGCACTTAGACTTATATACCGCTTCACAGTGGTTTACAGCCTTCTCTTAAGTGGTTTACAGAGGCAGCATCTTGCCCCCAACAATCAGGGTCCTCATTTTACCGACCTCAGAAGGAGGGAAGGCTGAGTCAACCTAGAGCCGGTCAGGATTGAACTGAGGGCACTGGGCAGAGTTTGCCTGCAATACTGTATTCTAACAGGAAGGGAAGGGAAGGGAAGGGAAGGGAAGGGAAGGGAGGAAGGAAGGAAGGAAGGAAGGAAGGAAGGAAGGAAGGAAGGAAAAAAAAATAGCAGTAGCACTTTAGACTTATATACTGTTTTATAATGCTTTTTCCAGCCCTCTCTAAGCAGTTTGTTGCCCCCAACAATCTGGGTCCTCATTTTAGCCACCTTGGAAGGATGGAATCTCCATAGAGACCTGCTCTTTTTGATTAATTGCTGTCCGCTTTTGGTTTTCTCCCTCTTTAGAACGGGAACTTAACTTGGAGCGAAGAAGCCGACAGTAGCAGAGGGAGAGAAGTGTCTCGCGACTTTGCCAAGGTCGGTGCAACAACCTAAGCCTTGATTCTTGATTTGCATCTAGGGCGGAAATGGCTGCTTGAGCTTCTTTTCGGCTAGAGAAACCTTGCTGTTAACGAAAACTTGCTTGGGCTGACTCTGTAACCTAAACAGGGTTGAAAAAAAAAAAAGATTTCCAACAGAGTAACGTGAACCATTCTAAAAGGAAAGTGAAGTTTGTTGGGAGGAGGTTTGCATTCCTTTCCAAATCAGCTTCTTGTAGTTTTCTTGATCTGGCTTGACTGCCGATCATCCCTTACCTAGATTTCTTGGGTTGTAATTTTTAGTACCTCTTCATCATAATCCGGGCTTCCAGTCCACAGCTTTGTGGTGGTGAGGCCATTGATCTGGATAGCCCTTAGCCTTTGAAAGGTTTGTCTCAAATTGTTTAGGAAAGTGTTTCTCAATCTTGGCCATTTTAAAATGCAGTTGAGGTCCGCGCATTTTAAAATGGCCAAGATTGAGAAACACTAGATTAAGCCATTTGTTTTCTTTCCAGCCACCTCCTCCTCCTCCCTCCAATCCTCACATCCATTTTAGAAAATTGATACCTGCCACAACATTAGCCTCCAAGGACTTGGGTTTCCAGATCCATATAATCAGTGACTGGAATGCAAGCTGCCTGCGTCACCAGCCTGGTTTTATTTTATTTTTTATTTTTCCCCCAAGGCTGCATTGAACAGGAGCAACACAAATCTTTTTGTGCTGTTGTTGTTTTGCTTTTTTTTTTTGGTGGTGGGGGAGACTTCCAATCTGAGCTGAATTGTGGTTTTCCACTCGCTTGAATATGCCTGTGAAATCTTGTTTCCTTGTCTGCACTCTCAAGCTAAGTTAAAATTGTGCTTGCTTCCTTTCCACAGTTGTATGAATTGGATAGTGACCCCGAACGGAAGAAATTCCTGGACGATCTCTTCATTTTTATGCATAAGAGGGGTAAGTGGTGTTTAGGGGGAAATAAGGGAAATAAAACATTTGACTACTTGTTCTATATGCTAGAATTAGAAACCACGCCCATAAAATCCAACAGGCTCAGTGACCTGATCTATATGAGTTTGGTTTTTTCCCCCAACAACAACATGGAAGTTGCTTTCCATTGCTCTCTGTTCTGGGATGGTTTTCGATTTTCCAATCCAGCTGACGGCCTCAGAATTTCAAAAGGGTCCTATTCAAAGACGGAGATGTCCTGTTCCTTCTTAGGATCCAGGTGTCAAGATTGTCCTTGAAAGAAACATGGCCACAGTCAGGTAAATTTTAAGTCCCGTGGAAGGCTGAACACAAAGCGTGAAAGGTTGTGAAGTCAGCTGAGATGTCTTTGAACAGCCTGCCCATCTGTCTTTCAAACTCATCTGTGTTCGAACTAAAAATGGATTTTTAAAAAAATCAATCCAATCTCCTTGATTGTTAAAAAAAAAACACCAAACCAAAACCAATCTTCAGGAGAGGGAAAGCTTTGATGTAGCTGAAACGCTCACATGCAGGCCGCTTTTATCATAAAAAGGAACTCTTTATGGTTGTCTATGTCTTTACTTTGGTTGGGTGCTTCCTTGTGATAACTCACAAAGCCCAAGACAAAGACAAAATTATTTCTACTTCGCATAGGTAGGAATACTTACTCTTTTGATTTTTTAAAGCTCCATTTGAACTCAATAATGTCTGTGTATTTTTATTTTCTTTCTTTTTAATTTTTTTTTATTAAACATAACATTTAAAAACATTGAACATGGTGGAGTCCTTTTGACATAACTTTTGGTCATCATTCTAGTGTAATATAATATAGATCTTATATACATTTGTGTATGTATATGTATATGTATATATATGTATGTGTGTGTATGTGTGTGTGTGTGTGTGTATGTATGTGTATATATATATACATACATACATACATACATATACATATATATATATATTTGTTTTCTGAGGTTCTCGCGGGTATTTGTATGTGGATCTTTGGTTATTCGGGTTTTCTCTGAGAAGCACAGAGCAGAAGACACAAGCCTGAAGATGATGAATGAGACTTCATCGAAACGTTGCCTAGATACTTCCAATCTTACGCGGGAGAAAACCTGAATAACCAAAGATAAAGATAGATAGATAGATGATAGAGAGATAGATAGATAGATAGATAGATAGATAGATAGATAGATAGATATGTCTCCAAGATACTCTTAACGTCACCAAGATACTCTTAAGCTTACACGGGAAAAGACCTGAACACACCTAGACCTACATACCTGTACCCGTGAAAATCTACGAAAACAAATATGTATAGAAATATACATTTATTCATCTTTAATTACATCCTCCAACATCCTTAGTGTTATTTTAGTCTCATAGTTTCCGTCATGCCCTTGGTAGAGTTGGACTCTGAGGGAGAAGAGGAGCAGCCAACAGGGAGTGGAGGTGTGGCTCTGGAGGTGTGGAAGAGGCTGGGGAAGGGCAGAGGCCGGCTGGGCAGTCAGAGGAAGAACCAGGCCCATCCTCTCTTCATCCTAGGACATGCAGAGAGGAACGGAAAAGGAAACAACTTGGCTTATGAGAGAGGAAGTGGCCATGATCCCCCTCACTGATTACAGCTGGGGAGAATAGTATATAAGAGAGATGGTTACAACACAGTGTTGCCAGAAGCAAAGCGTGTTTTATTCTGGGCTGAAGTTATCTTGGTTGGCGTCCTTCCAACAGACTTCCTTGTTATCTCCTTGAAGTTGGTAATTACTTCTCCTGGTCCAAGTTGTGGAAATTCCTTCATTGTAGTTTGTTTGTTTGTTTGTTTTATTTTGCCTTTATCTGCTTATTAAGTTTGGACTGTATTGCTTTCTTTTGAAGACTATTTTTGAGTATGTTTTATCTCCAATTGAGAATTATTGAACAGTGGGGCCAAGTTGGAGGCATTAAAGGACATTTATTTATGTTTTGGATTTTGTTACGTTTGTGTTACACTCCGGGTCATCACAGTTTCAGATATCCTCTCAACAACTCATTTCCATCTTAGATCCTTCCTTTCTGACCCCACTAATGATAAAATCCATTCCAAATTATGTAATATTCCAATTCATCCTTATTTTTCATCTCTACGGTTAGCCTTTCCATTTCAGCGCATACCAGAATTTTGTTTATTACTTCATCTTCACTAGGGATTTCTTTCTCCTTCCACTTCTGGGAAAATACCATTCTTGCCGCAGTGATGACATGTCTTATCCAGCACAAACTCTTCCTTATTATGTTTTTTTTATATAATTCCCAATAAAAAACATTCT